AAAATAATTGTTTGAATAAATTTTTTAATCCACATCATCGTTTTTATTATTTCCTTGTGAAATAATATTAGTCCCGTTATTAAATTTTTTTTCATTATTTTGCAAAAAAACTAAAATAAAATTAAAATTTTTTTTGAAGAAAGAATTGAAATAAAATTTATGAAAATGATTTATTATGTTTTAACTTTTTTAATTATAAAAACTGATTTTTAGTATTTAAGTTTATACATTTTTTAAGAAGTAATCGACATTTGGAAAAAATCTCACCAAGGAAATTCAATTCTTTACTTATTTTTAGCTTTTTGCAGTTTAAAAAAATTACAACAACAACTTATTAACTAAACTAGCACAGAATTTAGCAATGTCAACACCTTTGTTCGAGCGTCACTTCTGTTATTTTTGTATCACGCATTGTCGTTTCACTTCTTTTTCTTTACTTTTGCTGCACTAAAGTACCGTTTGACCACTAAACATATATATTCATGCGCACCGTGTGGCTATCAGTTGCACCACAATCAATCACTTCGTCCGCAACGGAACATAAAACTAAAAAACCAAGCCAGGTCCGCCAATGTTTTATAGTGAAATTCTGTAGCTGCAGTTTGGGCCTGTTGCGCTCGGTCTGCGGCTGCGGCCGCCGCTTTGGCTGTGGCTTTTAAGAAATGTGCAACATCTGCAAAAAATGCGCGCTAATCACGCTCGAACTGCCGACACAAGTCGTTAATATTGCATTGGCCATTGTAAAGTGGGCATTAACACCAAGCGCCGAACGGTGGACAGCGGACAGCGTTGCGCCAGCACCGCGGCCATTCGCTTCAGCTCGAATTCAATATGGTCAAATTCCATAGATGATCGTAATGATACACTTTACTATACTACGCACACATACATATTTAGATCTGTACGATTTGGCGCGGGAAAGTGCTTCTTTGTGCGCAAAGTAATCGAAGAGAGTAACATAAGACGGCAAACGCTGCGCTGCATTCGGTTCTACCCGGCGCATGGACGTCGGCAGCATTAATTGAAATGTTCGCAATGCCACGACAAACATTTGTACAACATAAATGCTATTGTTTTGTCGATGTGGCGGCCTTACTCGGCATGTTGTGCGAATTGCATCAGCCGCTTGTGCTGGCCTAGTGGCACATCTTTCAGTTTAGCTGATCTCGTATCGGCGGAAGACAATTAAATTCTAGTGATTGTTATGCTGCGATGCAAGCTTTGTGTGTATGAGTGTAGGTGTGTGTGTGTAAGATGTCAGTGTATGCGTAAGTGAATGTGCTGTTTACGTTCATTCGTTCATTTGAGTGGCAGATAGCATACTTTTAGGTGCACTTGAAAAGTTACAGTAGCGCCGAAAGACTTAGTAGCTGTATTTCATTATTGAATGGTGTTAAATGCTTAAGTCGAATATCAGAATTGTGGAATATATAATATATCTTATTAGTAATATGAGTGTATGCTATCCTGTCAGTTTATTTGAGAAATCAATCTGTAATTTTGGCAACATCTTTTTCTCACCAAGTCCTTGTACGGAAAACTTTTTTAATTGAGAAAATATCTCCTCGAAATTTTATATGGATTTTTCTCTGAGATAACGCTACTATTTTGTAATAAATCATTTAGATAGGACCACTATAACATATAGCTGTCATACAAACTGATCGTTCAAAATCAAGTCCTTTTATGAAAAACGTTTTTATTTGACAAAATATCAAGCAAATTGTTTAGATCGGATCATTCTATAACCTATATTGACCCGTCATATAAGCCGACCAATCGAAATCAGTTTCAATTTCTTTTATGGAAACTTTTTCTACTTGCGAAGCATATTATTAATGTTCTTATATTGTTTAAGAGAAATTTTGGAGATTGTAGTATTTCTATGCAGCATGTTGGAGAAAGTTGTGCCAAAAAAATCTTTCATAAAATATTTTTGTATAATACTTTAACGTGCCTAACTCCTGACCATTATAGCTATTTAATGAAATACAATCAATGAGTCATCTTGGGTATTACAATCACAACCAAGGGATAAAAATGATTGATATATTAATATAATAATATTTACTGATATTGAAATTGTCAACTCAAAAAGTGAAACACAATGTCTTTATAAGTATTTCTGGTAACCAAAATGCTAAATACATACATATTTACATACTTGCTTATATAATATATTCAGACTTATGCAAACATAGGCAATTATTACCGACTAAGTGGATGTGCTGAAAGCTTAGTAAATATTTGTGATATATAGCATGTACTATACTATATTTGTCATCTCCATTTCAACTATTACATCAGTCATTGTTGCGGCCATAAATAATTATTTCAATTATAATTGAAGGTATTGAATTCATTACATGAATACTAAATATATGTATGTATATAGATATGAAAGTGCACTAATGTATGTATATATCTGTTCGCAGATTTTAATTAACACTTTAGTGCAATAGTATATCAATGGAAATAAATATACACTTATAAAGAAATCATATACTGCATATTAATTATCTGTAATGCAAGATTAGATATTGACGTTATATATGTGATTGGTAATTTTATACATGCTAAATCTCATACACTGACCGACATATCCAGTCTAAGGTATGAAAAACGAAATTCATTATATCTAGTATACTAAAAGAATGTGCCCTGGCTTTCATTAAGCTACCTCACATAGAATCACCAAACATATGGCGTGAAGTCAAACAGATGTTCGAAAATCCTGATATTAGTTGTATGGGGGCTAGATAAAGTTTTCGCCCAATTTTATTTATTTCGCACAATGACACACTATTATGAGTAAAACACGCTCTATAATTTTCATTGAGATATCTCAAATATTGACCGATATATGCAGCATAAAGTCACTCAGAAGTTTGAAAATCTATATATTAGGGCATGCGGGCTTAGGAAAGTATTGACCCGATTCAACCCATTTTAAAGGCACACATTCACTTGTGTCAGGAAAATATTCTCTTTGAATCTCAATTGTATTTCGAATACATTCACCGATATTTCGGTCAAAAGTCAACTATACATGCAGGGGTCCATATATTCAGTACCTAGTGGCCCGAACTGTTTTTGGATTTGGGAAATTTATTACTGCAAGATTTTATTCCGTTCTATTAACTGCTTTTTGATTTTTGTACTGGAAAAAGAAAGAATCAAAAGTAGTTTAAAATTCTGCTATATGGGAAGTAGGAGTGGTCATAATCCTATTTCGCGTACTTTCAGTGACCTAGAAATATTGGAAGAATGACATGTAGAAAATTAAGTCGGAATCGATCAAGCCGATCCCGAGAATGTGTGCCACGCACATCGTCCATTTTTCACACGAGGTCCCATAAAGCCCTCTCATACTATCTCGGGTGTAAAATTTAATATCTTTATTATTATTTAGTTACTGATATATTGCGTTTTTAGTAGTTTATCACAGTACCGTTATATGGGGAGTGCGCGGTGTTATCTTCCTATTTCATGCATTTTCAACTGTCGGTACGAGTTCATAAATAATTTTAATTTCAATAACTGTTATGGCCGATTTTTGATTTTTTTTTAAGTTATTATGCAAATTTGTCATGTAAAAGGACTTCCTCAATATTCAAAGATTTCTGCCAGAGTCTTTCTCATAGTACCAAGATTGGTAAAAATCACAAAGAAAAATTTGTGCGTATAAAAAATTCTCCATCAGACAGTTAAAAAACGTTTTCGTTATGATATTATGTATGTATATATGTTCACTGAAGGATTAAAATCAGTTTAATGCGAAAAATTTTTCGGACAAAAACAGTTCCAAATCGGTTAAGCCATGTCATTAATCGTAATTCTCCATTAGAAATTAAGCATTAGAAAGAAATAATTAGATTTGCAGCCCGTAGAAGTCCCTGTAAGGGTTTTAGACTACAGACGTCGTCAGTGTATAGACTACACCTTTGATGAGATGATGAGAATACATACATACATATGTACATATATGAAGTCTCTGTACACCATATTACTGACAAATTGCTATCAATATTCTACTAATTGGTCATCATTTTCGAGTACAAACAGCAAAAATACAATTTTTGTAAGTAAATTGTAAATTATCGGCGTATTTTTTAAATAGACACGAACTAACTTAACTCAATAATTGAATAGAAAAGCAAACATACCCATTAAATCTATAAAATATCTTTGATACTTTAGACTTTATAGGCAGCTTCTAGTCATTAACTTCCTAGACTTTTGTGCTTAACATTTTTTCCAAACGCCTTCAAGCCTAGACAGCAGTGCACACGATTTTTACGCAAATAAAAAATATTATATAAATCTATATATACATACATATGTATATACAATTACTATAGGTATAGCACTAAGTCATCAAATTTCATATTTTAAGTCATTAGTCGGGCTTTTTTTTAAAGAAGGTGTAATAATGTAAGTGGGGAAGCTAATATACTTAATGTGCTATTTGTTACATACAATGTATTAAAGGCTCTGTATTATCTATACAAAGTACTAGTACTCGAGATTACAGTCTAGACCGTCCTAATCGTTATTTTCACTGTATAATTTAGGAAAAAATTTAGAAAAAGCTGAATTTAAAATGTTTTATACATAATTAAAGGCAATGAATTTCCAAAAATTCTCATTTCCCTATGAACCAAGTTCACCCTGTGTAAGTTGACTAGAAACTGTGAGCTCTGCACTGCTTTATTGCTTGAGCGAAATATCTCAGTTTTCATGAGCAACTTTTCGATGATTTAGGTTGTAGTTAGTGTAACTTTCATGGAGATATTTTTATTCAGTTAATAAAAGTGACAACTCAGCCCTACTAGTTCTACTAATAGTATATGTGTATAGTATATATGCTGTTGTTTTGGTTAAGTAAATAAGCGGGCTTCACAACTTGCAGTAAAATAAATAGCCTTATGATTCTGTCAGCGATTTACTGTTTGTAATTTATTTATTTCGTAGTTTCTTTTAAGACATTATTAAAATAATCTTTACTATTTGCGCACATGTTCGCAACTAAACGGTAATAAGTTGACTTTTTTAATCACCAAATAAAAATTCGTAACGCTATATCCCGCTCTCCATTGACAGTGACGGTGTCACCAGCTTTATTTCGAAAGCAGTACGATCGATGATTCCACCAGACCAAAAGCCACACCAAACTGTCAATGTAGGTGAATGTATTGATTGTTCATGAATAATTTGTGGATTTTCTTCACACCAGAATAGATAGTTTTGTTTATTTACCACAAGACCACTCAAATTAAAGTGAGCATCATCTTAAAAATCGTTAACGTTTTCAAGTTGTTGCAGGACAAAATCAGCAAATTCACGTTTACGGTGATCAAATGGCCACAGTTCTTGAGTGAGCATAATTTTATACTTCTGCGAGCCCAAAGGCTTTCACAAAATCCGCCAGGTTGTGGTTTTGAGACAGTCCCAATTCTTGAGAACGTCTTGGAATAGACAAATTGCGATCTTCAGCAACACTTGCTGAACGGCAGTAATATTTTAATTACTTTCAGCGGTTCTTTATCTTGTTGGTACTCGAACATTGTGTAATGAAAATGTATGCTTTAAATTTTCAACAATTCTACGAATAGCGAGCGCAGAAGAGCGATTATTACGACCATAAAATGGCAAAAACACACGAAAAGTTGTAATGGGAGAATGATTATTTTGATAAAAAAATTTAATAATATGTAAATTTGTCCACGGCAGAAATATGTAAACTTACAGGTTCGCCACTGGCTATCAGAGAGTGATCATCATTACAAACTTAGAATTGAGATTGAAGGCGAGTGTTGCCAAGTAGTAATGAGAATATTTAACCACTATATATTACAGTTTATATTTTAACTCCAATAACCGAGAAATCAAAAGCTTCTAACAATTTAATTGAGCATTTTATTTAATTAGAGGCAATCTACTTAATTGAACATCCCAATTAAAGGAACAAATTTATGTATACATTTGTACGAATATTTTATTTATTTTAATATTATTTTTAAGCTTAAGTTGAGAAAGTATACGAAAAAAAGAAGTGTTCACCAAAAAGTAAATCAACAAATCAATTAAGCATAGTGTACTGTTCTTTAACATATTTTTGTTGTTTTTGATTGCAAAACGGGTCTCGTATAATTTTTCAATTATTTGAAGCGTCTACCAGATTTGCGGTTTTAAGTATAACAGACCATTTTTTTAGAGCAGAAAATTTCTAAAAAATTTGAGTTTTGCGATATTTAGGTAATTTTGTTTTTCAATGAGTTATAAATATAAATATTAATAGTTGAAATTAACGGAGACCTTTTTGCAGGGCATTCAATTTCCAACAAAACTTTGGAAACGGCATATTTTGGCAAGTAGTTCGAAGTGAGTTTTGAATTTCTCTATCTGATAATAAGATAAAAATTGAAAACTGTAAGGCGGAGAACTTTCCCGTTACAATTAAGTGCCTGTACTCAGAGAGATTTTCTTAAAGTCTAAGAAGCTACTTTTCAGCATACAAAGCGAATTTGTCATTTTTGACCTCCAGTAGTGTATATATGACTTTACTCAATATTAAGTAATTTTGAAAAAAGCACTTTAAGGCTTAATTGCAGCATAAAAAATCATATTGATGATAATTTTAATGTGTTATTCAAGAGTTTACCAGCAAAATTTAGTAGGTGCTCGATCAATGGCTTAACTCAATATTAAGTAATTTTGAAAAAAACGCATAAAGTGTATATTTTGTAATACCAAGTCTTACCACACACACTCACATACATAATACTATATGCATAATACTATATACATACATAATTATTTTCCAAAATATATTTGTCCTGCAATTTTTTTATTTTTATTTTTTTCGCAAAATGGCAATGAGTTTTTTATCACATTTGCCATTGCGTGTGAAAGATAAAAAGCACACACACACACTTCATATACATATGTATACTCATGAGAGCCTGACATTCGCGGTGCATGTGTCAAGCGTATGCGTGATACCGTAATTCTAGAAGGCATTTTGCCGCGCAATTTCGCTTCGCAACACCAATTAAAAGTATTTGCGCATTAAAAGGCGATCGGATTCATTGGACAACGGCAATTAGAGTGTACAACCACAACTAACGTGGCATTAATTCAGCTTTCTAGTATTCTTAAAGTAATTTCGTCAAAGCAACGCCGAAAGCGAATATTTTCAATTGTGCTAATAAAGTTAATATTTGACAAATTGTTTGCGGCAATTATATAATTAAATGTAACAAATGGCGTTACTCACTTATTGTTGGTGCCATCGCCAGGCAGGAATTGTTCCATCTCTTGTGGAGCATGTTTGCCGCCGCTGTCCTACGGTTGCAAATGAAAGCAAAACCAAAAAAAAAATAATAATAATATTAATAAATATATTTTGTTTAACAATTTTCTGCAATCACTTACCGCTATATTAACCATTTTGTTGTTGTTTGCAGTTGTTTACGCTTTAACAAGAACCAGTCTTAATTTGTTTAGAGTTATTAGCCTTAATAGCGTGCGCTGCTGTCTCTGTTTGCCTCTCTTGTGTTTTGTAGTCTCTCTTGAGTTGTGTTCTGCAATCAAAAGAAATTGAAAATCTTAATTATTCAATAATAATTCATTTAAAATGCTAATGCGTGCGCATATTGGTGTGTGTGTGTGTGCGTAATGGCGCAATGGCGTACGCGTGGAAAGTTGTTGGACACTTGCGCGTGGCCGTTTTTTTAATATTTGCGTTTGCATACGTGTTGTTTATTTTTATTAAACAAAAAGTGTATTTGAAAAAATTTAAAATACTTTTCTTTTTTCTTTCTTTTCTTTCCTTTAAATTTTTTATTTTTTTTTTAAATTCTCTATAATTCATAAAAAATATCATTTAGAGTAAAAATCTCAAAAAAGTTGCTCACAGTCTTCATCGACTAAGTTCAAAATTATCGACCAAAAAATCGAATTTTGTATTGCCTTATTAAATTATACAATACCTTTATAGTATTGCCCTACATTTTCTAGTTGATCCGAGTAATAGTTTCGGAGATACATGCTTAAGAACTTGTGCGCTCGAGGCTAGCTGGGCTAAGTGCGCCGTCTTTAAACACGTTTTTCTCAAAACTTTGTTTTTGAAGTCGGTTGGCAAGATTTCTCGAGAACTACTCCACCGATCTTCATGAAATTTTACAAAGGTCTTTGAGATACAATTCTTAAAGACTTTGATGAAGTATTTTTTTTTCGATTACAACTAATTGAAAAAACAAAAATTCGAGAAATTTTTCTTTCATTTTTTTTAATGTCTGTCAAAAATCCATTTGTAAATTTTTTCCCCTTTTTTACCTTAAACAAAAAAAAAAATAATTTTTAATACAAAAAGGTTTTCGAAATGAAAAATAGTCATATATCAAAAAAATTCAGAATTTTTCCAAAAACAGTGAAATTCGCTATAACCAAATTGAAGCTCCCTACTTAATTTTAACAATTACATATGTATATAGTAACTACATACAAGCACACAAATCTCCATACATATTCACAGGCAATTAAGCATATTCCAAACATTTATTATCATACGCGAGCCATAAATTAAATGGAACTATAATGGTATACGCACTGAACTGTATCTCCGCTTTGGCAACGACTTAATGAGGTGTGTGTGGGGTTTCAACGAATGTTAATATTTAGTAGGTGAATTTCTATGCAAATATAGATACATATGTATATTTATGCTTTTCCCCTGAAAGAATCCACTGACGACACACATTTAAATATCCGGTTTTTGTTGAGCTCGTCATATTCTCACCTTGGAGGAAAGCCCTTTTGGCATAAATTAATAAAATTAAAAGAAAAATTCTAAAGTCGTATTAGTACATTTATTCACACAATCCTTTGCTTACGTTTAGTATGCATACAATTATCTTACGGCGTAATTAGTTCGTTAAAGAAAGTGAATTGGAAAATCAAGCGTAGACTTTGAAATGCAAACGAAAAACTGTTATATGAATTAAGGTAGCAGGCGAATGGAGACTACTAAAAAGATAATAAAAATGCTATACGAAGCAAAATATTTAACTTTGTCTGATTATTATGAGTGTTAAAAACTCAATCTTGTAATATTAAAAGAAATGCCTCTTTATTTGAAGTATTCTTTATGATAGATTCTTCAAGTCTTTCATAAGTTTGTCTATAAAAATCGGTTAAAAATAAATAAAAAAAAAACTGTACCCTGTGGTAAAAATAATTGTTAATCTATTATAATAACATGTTTTTTTTTTTTATTTTTTTTGTGAAGAGTTGCCACCTGTTTAAAATATTTAAATATTGCAGTATGTCTACCAAAATAACAAAGTTAAAAAATTTTTTTTTATAAGAAATTGTGAATCAAGGTTGCCATCTGTTTTGAAAAGTTAAGTAAAAAATTATTCAAGTCTTTCATAAGTTTGTCTATAAAAAGCGGTTAAAAATAAATAAAACTTGTACACTGTGGTAAAAATAATTGTTAATTTATTATAATAATATGTTTGTTTTTTGATATTGTTTTGAAGAGTTGCCACCTGTTTAAATTTTTGGCTTCAATAATAATCATAAATTAATTTAAATATTGGAATATGGTTACCGAATTAATAAGATTAAAAAAAAATTACTTTTGTTAAAGATATTTGGTGGAAAATTTGCCATTTATTTTGACTAAACTAAGTCAAAAAATAACATTAAATATTAAAAAACATTATAATATGGGTAGTTTGGCTTATAAAAACTCAGACAGCTTGTATATAATTTTTAAGGAGGGTTGCCTGCTTCTTTAAATTTTAATTTTATTAAAATGCTTAAATGTTAAATTTTTTTTCATTCAATTTTTTAAATGTTACCGATTGGACAGCAAAATAAAATGATTAAAAAAGGCTTATTGTCAGTAATATTTTTGAGAAAGGTTGCCGCATGTTATATTAAGATGATAGTAAACAAATTAAAGCGATTGTAATGTTATTTGCACAGTTTATAGTTTTTATAAGTGTGATGGACTAATATTATTTAGTCACGATTAAAAACTTCTCTAACAAAAGAAAGAAATTATTGCTACAGGAAGACTAATCTTATTATTATTATTATTATTTTTCTTTTGAAGATCAAAAATATATACTTGGATTCACTTTATTTTTTTCATATATGTATGTATGTATTATATTTTTATTACACAGATTTTGCATATGGAGAAATGAAAATAGTCTTATCATTTATTCACGAAGGTCATGTTCACGCTGACTTTCAGCGATAATAGTTCTACGTAAATAGCACTATTAATTTATATAATTAAGAGTATAAATGTAATAATGCAAAGTCTAAATATCTATTTATTAATATTTAACAAACAAGAACAATGTAGAGAGTGGGAAGTTACAAAGCACGTGGTGTAAGTACATATACATACATACATATATCTATATAGAAAACACGTGGTTTGGCACTCCCTTTGTTCGTAGTGAACAATTTTCAACTTTGCTCTGATTTGGGACATCACATCACATTTCAGAGTCAAAACAGGATTTTAGATTTGAAAATGTGATTTCCTATTTAGTTGTATACATATGTACATATTAAGGAGAATTATCAGTAAAATATTAGTTCTAAAAAAGTTTGTAGTGAAATACACAAAATAGCTTTTAAACTTTGTATGTTTTCCATGACGTTTTTTTTTCCAATATATATAATATAAATAAATGTTTTTAATTGGATCGTTATCTCCTACGTGCGCGGAAATGTACACATTAATTCAATGCTATTTGATATGCTATTGTTATATACACATATATATATGCAAATATAATTTTATAAACATACTGACCATATGAGCAAAAAATAGTAAGATTTGGTTTATAATCTGAAAACTCTTCATTTATTCTTCAAAGTCTATGTCGTCCTTCTCAAAACAATACAAATCCTCTCTCCTCAAAGCAATACAGAGTTGTTGGCCCATAATTCTAGCCTCTCTTTACAAATAGTTTCTCGCAAACGACGCATAATACTCAAATAATATTCCTTGTTGACAGTTTGGACGGTTGAAGGGAATTGAATGGCACACTTTTGCTACGATATTCGACCGATATATCGTCTGTATCCAGGTCGTAAGCATAGACCCAAAACTCGTCGCAAGTAATAATACGTTTCATGAATTCAAATTAAAAAGTCTTTCTATTTTTTGCCTACATAGTATATTGTATATACATATGCACATTATTTCCGTTTTAACTTTTTTGTTTCATTCGTTTTAATTTGTTTCCTGTGATCTTCTTTTTTCTAGTGTTTAACGAAGCAAGGAAAGTTTTTGTGCCAACCTAAAATTACCCTATTATTATTTTTGTCGGGTTCATACGAACCTCGTTTCAGCAGCGTATTATCTTCTACTATTTTCATAGTAATAAAAATAACTGCTACTTTTACCAGGTAAGTCGAAATTTATATATATGTATATATTTTTAATGAGATTCTAGATAGAGTGAAAGTCGTTGGTACATTTTTTGCCTTCTGTAGATTTGTATATACATATTTATTATTATGCCCTGAAAAGAGTTTACAAAAATTTAGACGAAGTTTGTACCATAATAAGGTAATTGCAGTAGCAGTAAAAACTTGTGGGCTAAACAAAATAAGCGTGGCCCGGATCTCTAATAGATTTAGTATATGCCATTATAGCTGCAATAACCAAATTCGCTTAAGAGCCCCATAACAACAATGCGAAAACGGATGAAATTGGATTATAAGCCCGTCCCTATCTAGTGATTATTTTCGTAAAAAATATTATTTTACTCTATTTAATTAAGCTGAATTAGCTACTGCTCAAATATTTGGCATTAAAGAAATATACACCGAGTCTCTAAAGCAGCTTTATGATATATCAAATTTTGTCTATTCATGGCTTTACAATTCATTAGTATTAATGACGCGGTCTTTTACTAATTTATGAGCTACATTTTGAAAAATAAAACTACTTAATTTGTGCATAATTTATACAGAAACAGAAACCCAAGCATAAATCACCCTCGTGCGGCCGATTCATTAGCGTATCGCAAGCTTGCTGTCCGGCCACCGACTATGTGTGCCTGCGGCATATTCTATGAAGCTTAGATATTCATTATACATAACTTTAGTATTTTTCAAACCGATAATAAAAGTTCAAGAAACTCTAAAACTCGTTCCTCACAGCTATACAACTATTTTATTATAATTCTACACAGACATGTGCAAAGTTTTGTATGTAAGTAAGTAGAGCCACCGGCGCGTGCTAAAAATAGCTGAAATGTTTCTCTAATTTAATTTCGTTGGCTGACTAATAGGGTGCGCTCGCCGCCGGTAAGGAATTCCTGTGACTAAAACCGTCTAAATTTGATGCAATAAAAGTAAAAAATATATACATACGTACACATGTATAGTGTGAATTTGTAAATACATACTTAGATATGTATGCATGCAGCACCAAAGCAAGTGGCGGAATAGTAAAAACAACACAAATTAATGGTGCCAGCTTCATTCATAAATATAGCAGCTCTACCTCAAGTTATGCGCGTTTTTTAAATACATACATATGTAT